ACCAGCCTTTTTCCCCTCTCGAATTTGAGGCTGGTTTTTGTTTTCTTTAACTCTTGGGAGGCCGTGTGAAGTTGACCCCCAGCCGCCAGCAGCAGTGGGCTGGGAGGGGCCCAAGGGGAATGTTTTGCCAGCAGCCTTAAAGCAAAAGGGGCTTGGATTGGGGAATAACCACCATCATGGTTAAGTCCTGAGCAAGGAGAGCAGACTGGGGACTGGGACAGTAAATGTCCTTGTGGAACTCCCTCCTTGGCCTTTTGGGAGTGGGGCTTTTTTCCTGCCTAGGAGAGGAGCAATTTGCTTAGTTTCCAGTCAGCTGCCAGTCACTCTTGGAAGCATAAGGACTCAGCTCTGCTTTGTGTTGCCTCTGGAGGAGTGATACAGGGACTCCACCTTTATCTCCAGCTCCCCATCCACACACAGACTCCAGGGAGGAGAGAAACTTTCTCTTCATTCCTGCCGGCTCTGCCAAGCTCTTGTGGCTTGGGAGGAATGAGCCGACTCTCCTTGCACGTGCCTCATCAGCTGAATTGTTTTATAGAGCTTCACTGATTCCTGTCCAGCCAAACCCACTGTTTGCCACAGAGCATCCATTACAGCATTGCTTGACCTGTGAAATCGTTGCCACCAGGAGCTATGTGTGAAGAAAAAAGAGATCTGAAAGGGTTCTGAGGCTGCAAACCCATTCTTGTCTTCTGCAAGGCTTTTTTACCCCCTTAAAATGAAGAGTGGTGGGATGTGAGTGCCTGACAATCAATCTCTTTATATAAAGTGATGGTAGGTAGTATTTGCTGTGCCTCTGGGGGCCTGTCTCTGCTTAACTTACCCCTTCCCTTCCCCTGCTGCAGTTCAAACCAGCAGCTGTGATAACAGCAGCTCTGAGATCGTTGTTGATCCAAGAAATATCGACTGTGGGATGCCTTGTAGGGCTCTCGGCAAAGAGAAGTCAAGTGATCAGCATCTTTCCCAAGAAACAGGCATTTATTTGTTCATGTCACTCCTTAGTTTTTGTAGGGGTTAGCACATAGCTCTGGCTGTTCAGAATTGCTTCCTGCTCACGGATGGTATGGGAAGAGGGACGGGAACGATGCCCTGTAATGTAGGGTTCAGTACAGGAGACGTGACTGCCTTGAGGAAGAGTTTAAAAAAACAGATTGCTTTTGGGATGTCTCAGGCTCTCCGTTGTGTGAGAACATCCAGACACCCAAGTCTAGCAGCACATCTGGTGCAAACTGGCTGATCTCTGCAGGAGTCTCTGGAGCTGCAGTTTTACCCGTGCTCATCTTGTCCATGGATCCTGAAGCTGGGAGCAAGGAGGGGTGCTTGCCAAGCAGTTACTCCTTTAGTGTGCTTCTAAGAGGTCAGGAGCTGAGACACTGCCACTTGTCTGTGGTTGCCAAGGCATCTGTGAGTGACTCCTGAGAAGGTGTTTCAGTCCAGCAGGTTGCTGAGGTGCAATGCTGGGAGAAGTTGTGCTGAGCTCTGTTCATCTGAGGGCAAATGAGGGACGTGCTTGTGAAGAAGGCAGTGAGGCAGGGTGATGAGGTGCCTTTCCACTTGGGCTGAAGCACCTGAGCAGCACTGCTGGCTTCCTCTGGAAGAGGAGCCATGTGGCAGGAGGAATAAATCCGTGCTTGCAGCATTCCCATGGCTTGATGGTGCACACGGGGGTTCTGGGGTGGAGCAGGATCCGTGTCAGCCTTCGACTGCTCTTCAGCCCGAGGTGCCCAGCTCTCAGTGGGGTGACTCAGCTGGGATCAAACCCAGCCCCCAATTGCTCAGGAGCTTGTCATGGCAGTTCACAGCTGGAGAGACAGGGCCATCTGACTTGGCATCCTCTTGCTGTGACAACACTTTTGCTCTGCCAGACCAAAAGCATGAATCACTTGCCTGCTCTGCTGCTGATAGCCTGAGCAATCAGGCTTGTTGCTCTCCAGCAGAGGCTTCCTTTCCTTGTGGGTGAAGCTATCCTGGTGAAGGGGTGAAAGCAAGAGCAGAGGCCTGGCTGCAGTGGGAAGTGGTTGTGTCAGCTTTCCAAGGGCATCTTGCATGCTGCAGAGCTGGCTTTGTTTGTGTGTGGAGGAGAGGTTTAGAAATGTAGTTCTTCTGGCTCTCCTGCCTCCTCCAGAATGTGTAGCTGTGGGCCTTGTGCAGAACTGCAGCTATTTTCTGTGTCTGCTCTGCTCAGGGAGATGTGCTGCATCCTGGGAACACTGAGGGAGGTGGATGCTGGGGTTTGTGTTTCATCTCTGCCTGTGCCTCAGGCCTCAGATCTTTTCACGAGGGTTTTGATGTTTTGAGCAGATATCAGGCTCCTCTTGTCTCCTGTTGTGCAGCACAGCCTGTGAAAAATACTTGGCATTGCAAAGTGCAGAGATAGTTTTTGTTTATTCCATTGTTGATGTTTGCCACTTGCAGGGGAAAAAAAAAAGCCAGGGGAGGGGAATAAACCAGAGAAGGTCTGCAACGAAAATAACTGACACAGATGCAAGAGATGAGTCTAACTCCTGTTCCTGCTGAGCAACTGATGATGAGGCAGTACTTGCTTTCCCAAAATATAGCAGAGAAAGAGATACTGGTGCTGTGCTGAGGGATGTTCAACACCCACCACTTTGTGTGAAGCCTGTGAGTCATGGGCACTTTCTGCTTTCTGGGATCTGCTCTGAGCTCCCTTCACTTGGTCATAAACCCAAGCCCACCGTTTTTTTTTTTTTTAGAAATACTAATGTTACAAATATTTAATTTAACCCATTCATGTAATACATCAGTCCCAGGGCCTTTTCCAGGGAAATCACAGGGTCTTTCTGGGTGGTTATTCTTTACCCAGCCTGAGTGAAGGAGGCAGCATCTCTTAATCACATTAAGGTTCTGTGGTGTGGTGATGGTATCTCCCTGCACGCAAAGGGATGGAGGTGAACACACTGGTAAATTGGCATTTAGAAATACTAATGTTACAAATATTTAATTTAACCCATTCATGTAATACATCAATCCCAGGGCGTTTTCCAGGGAAATCACAGGGTGATGGTCTTTCTGGGTGGTTATTCTTTACCCAGCCTGAGTGAAGGAGGCAGCATCTCTTAATCACATTAAGGTTCTGTGGTGTGGTGATGGTATCTCCCTGCACGCAAAGGGATGGAGGTGAACACACTGGTAAATTGGCATTCAGCTATGGACAAGCCTGGTTTAGATGCTGAGAGAAGGCTCAGGTGTCTAGCACAGGTGCCAGGCTCTGTGTGCCAGCATGGCAGAGAGGAGCCCTTTGCCCAGACTCCTGGCACAGACTGAGACATTTTCACTTGGAGATGTTGCTTTTCTCAGGGAGTTTCTGTATTTCTTTAGGTCTGAGTTTATTTTCATCGACACTCAGCCCAAATGTGGCTCGTTTCTCCCTGCAGTTGGTGGCTGATCCATTGTCTTCTAAGGAGGGAAGTGGAGCTGCTCAGCAATTGTGCAGAGAGTGGGAAGTCCTCCTCTGCTTTTGATTCTTAACAACCAAAGAGTTGCCTTTGTCTGGTCCAAAACCCACTTCTTTGTGGAAAGAAGCTGATGCTTGCCAGCATCTTTGTGGGCAGCCTCAGCCTGGTTCAACTGTAATTTATTGTGGCCTTGGGGGAGTGACTCCATTGGAAGGGTTTGGGTTTGGAGAAGGGTTCCAAATTAAGGACAACAAACTTCAGGAGAAACATGCTGTGAAATAACAGCAGAGCTGCTCCAGGTGTACCAAGTTTGTGGGGCTTTTTTTGTTTGCTTGTTTTACCTGGGACCTTGGCACAACCATGACTTGCCTGGGAAGAGGTAACTGGGCTGCCTTGCTTTTCCAAGCCTCTCTGTGGATTGCCATACAGCTGCTGTGGGAAGGACCCAAACACACTCTGGGGCTTGTGTCAAATCTCCCTTCTGCAAGGTCTGTGCTGTTCCCTTGCCCTCCACAGAACATCTTTGGGGTGTTGGATGTTGTCAGCTTGAGCAGCCGAGGAGGAGAGCGGGTCACGAGGGGTGACTGGCACCTCTGGGCGGCCTGGCCTGGCTTCTTTTCCTGCTGAGGACGTGCACAGGCAGCACCAGGAGCTCTGTAGGTCACACAGGAAACGCTGGGAATGGTGCCCTGCTTCCTCACCTTGTGTCAGATGAGGTTATTTGTAAACCAAGGCGTGGCAGAACAGCATGCTCGTTTTATTCCCTTCCTGTGAAAAGCTGGAAAGAGCTTTAGCTGGCTCTAGTGGCACAGCTGCTATCTGAGCTGTGTCCTGCTGTGGCTGTGCTGATGGGTTGCAGGAAAAGGGCAAGAATGTTGGCATTTCCCTTGTAGGCCTGGGAGGACAGAGCAAGTCTGAGAGCTGCTCCTTCCCTTTGGCACTCTGAGCCAAGGAAAGCACCACCTTGGCTCTCGGCTCGCCTACACAGGTGTCTGTCAGGAATAGCTTTTGGGGCTGCAAGCAGGGCCATATCACAACCTGTGTCACTCCTCAGTATGCTTCTTGAGAGAACCAGCCTCGCTGGGAAGTCTGGGGAGTTTCCCATGCTGCTGGGGAAGTTGTGAAGTGAAAGGTTGGCTGTTTTCTGCTGTGTAGCGGTGCAGTGGACACGGAGGAGGCAGCCTGAGCTGCTTCACCAACTGAACAGGAACTGGTCACCTCGCAGCTCTGCCTGAGTTTCACTCTTTTCCAGATGTCTGCCAAAATAATCCTAGGGTAACTCTATGGATGTGGGATGCTGGGGCCTCAGAAACAGCATTTGGGTGTTGCAGATTGGTAAAGAATCATGGTTTATTGGTGACAGGCCAGTGTGGTGGCGTTTGCCTGCCTTGGGGTTGGGGACATTTTAGCTCCTGAGCCCCACAGCCATGGATAGAAGGAAAAGGAGAATGTGTTTGGGAGAGACACCCAAGGCACAGATCCTGCATCCTGAAATCCTCTGTGTCCTTAACACACTTCTGCCATGACCTCTGCCCTGCCAGGGGTGTTGCTACCCTGCTGAATGCTTTTCTCCTGATCTTACAGAACGATGACCTCAGGAACCTGTCCCTGTCCGGCCACGTGGGCTTCGACAGCCTCCCGGACCAGCTGGTCAACAAGTCAACGTCACAGGGCTTCTGCTTCAACATCCTGTGCGTGGGTAGGTCACCTGCTGGGCCCTCAGGGGGCACAGCCCCACACTCACACCTTCTCCCCCTGCCCAGGGCAGGGCTGAGCCCCTCCTGACTGTGCTTGTCTTCCCCGAGCAGCTCCATGGTGAAATCGAGTGCTCCTCTTTCCCCTTTCTCTGTCCTGTCCCCTGAGTCAGAGCATGGCAATTGCTAGCTGTTAAAATCTATCCCTTTGATCACCCAGTGGTTCTGCGTTCTCCAAAGGCTGCCTGTAAGGAAACTGAATGAACTTGGGAACTAAATGTATTTTTAAAAGCATACTGACTTAAATCTGCTTTTCTCTGGGTTGGGTGTGGAGGCTGTTTCTCACCAAATTGCATTCCTTCCCTTCCAGGGTTTGCCTGTATCCTTACATTCTTAGTTTCTTCACTTGGAAACTGTGCCATTTTTAGTCTCCAAATGATGTACTGGAGAACAAAGCTTGTCACCTGTCCTCTGCTCTGTTTAATCTGGAAGTTGGTTTAACAGTCTGAGTTACTTTTCCCAAATTGTTCAGAGGGTGAAATATGGGGAGGCAATATCTTCTCTTGGCTGTGGGGAGGTAGCTGCTGGCTTGGCACTCTGTGGATACTCTGCAGTTGGAAATCCATTGCTCAGCCCTGGGGAGCTGTGAGCCAAGCCAGCTTTGGCTTGTCAGTGAACCCAGAATCTGGTTCTGTAAAGGGACAAAACTGCTGGGTTCTTCTCTTAGCTTGGCAGTGCAGGCTGCAAACATCATCTTTCCATTCATTGTTCATTTAAGCCTCCAAGAGGGGTGTATTGTCCCTCCTAATTAGTTACGTTAATTAGCTGGAAAAATACCCACAACCCTCTGACTGTGATTTTTCTACAGCAAATTGAGAATTTCTGTGAGCTGCTTGAAAAGAAATCTAGCAAACTCAACTCCTCTCTGTAGCTTTGTGTGTGAAAGGAGGAGATAAGAGAGTAGTTGCACTTCTGCACACTCGAGCTCCCAGCCCTCACGTGACTCTCGAAGCAGCATGAAACCATTTAAATCCAGCAGGGAACAGCCCGATTAGCAGGCAGCTCTTTGATCAAAATGGCATAAATTAATTGCCTTTCTCTCTTGAAGTAAATATGCCTTTCTTAGCGTGACTTAATATGTCTCCATTAGCAATTTGATCCACCTCTTTTTTCCTTGTGAAATGTGCTCATCCACCGATTTTCACCCATATTAAAGTTTCACACAAACTGCTGCAGCTGGCCAAGGAACAGAAATGTCAGCCTTGAAAAAAAATTGCTGTTTAAAATTGTGATTTGAGGGAGGACACAATTAACTTCAGTGTTGTAATGTGAGACTTCTAACTGGGATGTAAAATGCTGCAGAGCCTATCTGGCATAGAATGCAGCAGTTCACATCAGGAGCTCCCTGAAATTTGCAGTTTCAGCCACAGGCAGTCTGTGCCATCAGTTTGGGACTTGGCTTTCCGTGTGAGTTGCCTCAGCCCACCCCTGCTCACAGCATGGGTAGCAATAGCTGCTTGAGAGTGTAATTGCTAAACAAACAGTTTTGACTGAAAAATGGGATTTAGGCTAATGCTTTCATCCATGTTACTACTTGCACTGGGGATAAGTGAAACTATAATAGTTTAAAAAGTTGTTATTTAAGCAGTGTGCCTTTTTTTTTTTTAAGAACTCCGTATATATTTCTCTGTCTCGGATTTTTTGTCTTAAGTTGCACTATGGGTTTCAGATGATCTTCTTGAGACAACAAAACTGCCTTAAAAAGGCTGAAACAAAATCAGGGAATCGGACTTGGAGTTGAGACAATTTACAACTTGCTACCATGAAGAAAGTTCCTGGGTCAGTCATGGAGCAGTGGTAGAGATGGGGGCTGTCTCTGAAGACATCTGTTCCTGCAGGGATTATCTTGCTTAGCGATGTGCATGTAGCCTAATTCCACTGCTACCCAAGTGGAATAACTCCTTAACCTGGGGAAGGTGCCAGACAAAGAGGCAGGGGAGAGCAGCAGCCCTGTCCTGACACTTCTGTCACTCCTGTCTGCTCAGGTGAAACCGGCATTGGCAAGTCGACGCTGATGGACACGCTGTTCAACACCAAGTTCGAGAGCGAGCCCGCCACGCACAACGAGCCCGGCGTCAGGTTGAAAGCGCGGAGCTACGAGCTCCAGGAGAGCAACGTGCGGCTGAAGCTGACCATCGTGGACACGGTGGGGTTTGGAGATCAGATCAACAAGGATGACAGGTAATCTGAGCTTTGCCAGGAGAGAGAGCTCCATACTGGTGCCCGCTAAGGTGGGCAGAAGATTCCGGGGGTGTTTCCCAGTCCTGGATGCTGCTCCTGCCTAACCCCGTGGAGAGAAGGGCAGGCACAGAGCAGCAGGGCTTAGGGGGAGAGCTTTTCTTCTCCTGCTGTGTTGTGTCCTGGCACATATGGCTGTGGTGGGTGCAATTAGCTCTCTCCTCCAGTTTGAGGCTTCACAGTTGTCCTTTGCTCCACTTTTTTTATGGGGCTTGTTCTAATATTTCACCCACTGTGGGGCCTTACTGCTTTCCTTGCACATGTCTCTGAGGGTTTCAGTGTCTCGTGGTTGGAGACAGTTTCCATAAGCCAAGAAACCAGAGCAGCAGTCATTTTATAGACACACCTAGTGATGTCCATGAAGCTGCTCTTGGTGGAGGGGGAACACATGGAGCAGTTTTCTTTGCAGAAGCACAAACAATTAATTTGAACAAGGACATGTTATATTACGTGAGCTGCTTTTTCTCCATTAAAATGGTCCTATCAAAGTCTATGAATGATGCAGTTGTCTTCTGAGCTTTGCTCGTAGGCTTTAATTCCTGAAAAGTTCCTCTTACCTTGTGACTCCCCATCTTTTTAAGATGATGAGATTTTGGACAAGCTAGGGGATAGGTCACGATTTCCTGTCTAAATTTTTTCATGTTAGATGGTTTTCAGTGAGATGGCAGAGCAGCAGCTCAGACTTGAACTGGAGAGACTGTCTAAGGTGTTGTTCTTCAGGGTAGCAGTCTTGTGTGGTTCCATGCATCTGAAATCGAAGGCTGTCATGTCTGTTGTGCTTTGCCTGTGCACCAAGTGGAAAGGCACTCTTGTGAAGAGGGACTGTAGGTTGGTGGGGAGGGTCCTGAAAGCAGTGCTTGTCCTGTGCCATACAGAGCTCCTGAGTGTCCATCAGTGTGGAGTGTGGTCACAGCAGCCAATTCCCTGCTTTTCTCTGTGCCCTGTCTCCCCAGCTACAAGCCCATCGTGGAATACATCGACGCACAGTTCGAAGCCTACCTGCAGGAAGAGCTGAAGATCAAGCGCTCCCTGTTCAACTACCACGACACGCGGATCCACGCCTGCCTCTACTTCATCGCTCCCACCGGACACTCGCTCAAGTCCCTGGACTTGGTCACCATGAAGAAGCTCGACAGTAAGGTACTGGCTGCCTGGGTCACCACGGCCCCGTAGTGCTTTCATTATCTTGCCATCTGCTCAGGAAAATCACGTCTGGGTTTAGTGGTGGAGAGCTGTGAACAGGAAGTGTGAGAAGGGTACCTGGGGCAAGCTGCTACAATGGCTCATTATTCTGCTTCACGTGCTGCAGAGATTTATTGAGAGTTTGGACTCCTGCTGTTTTCCAGCTTTACCTCAGGTGGGGAGCTTGGCCAAGTGCTCCCCAGCTCATCTTTAAAGTCAGTAAAGACAGTGCATGTCATTTTTCTAACAATAAAAAACAAATGGAGGTGCTGTGTCTGCTTGCTCTGACCACATCCAGCTAGACAAAAGCAGTGATTTGATCTGCTATGGTGAATGTAGTGGTGTTCTAGCTGTAATGTCATAAACAAGAATCTGAATAGATATGTAACTTGGCATCTGCTCTTCCAGGTACCCTCATGGGCTTGGTTTAAACCATAGTTCAAAGGAGATTGCCTCTCTTCTAGGAAAAATAACTGAGGTACAAATGTAGAGACGGACTAGCTAAACTGAGCCTTCTCTGTGCTCCTTTCCATCGTGATTAAGCAATTTAAGTCAGTCCACTGTGCACCTTTTGGCTCATTGGGTCCTGATTCTGCAGGATATCCATGATGACAGTGGTTCTTTGTTTCCTAGAGAGGCCAATTGATTGGGTTTTATGTGGTGATGGAAAAGGTTCCTTGCCTTCCTCAACTGAAAATAAGGTTATGGAGATTTATCCCAAGCGAGCTAATTGACATTCCTGTTTTATCTTTTGGCCAAGAGGGATTTAATAGCTCCAAACAGAATTAAGTGATGTAATAGAAGAGGATTTTCAAGTACTGTAGTTAAAATCCCTCCATATAGGTCGATATTACTGTTATCCTCAGTACAGGTTCTGTCTGCTGTTACAGGGAAAAGCAAACCTGCAAGATCAAAAGCAAGAACTGTACCTCTGAAGGGAGGAGACAGGGGAAGAAGGCAGGATCTTTATCCTTGCCAACAGCCTGTCTAGAGAAGAGAGTAACTCATCTTTCAGAGCTGTGCAGGGAGGAGTGAGCCCTGGTCCTGCAGTGCAGCAGTGTCTGGGGGCACATGAGGGCACACAGCTGGGGGAAGTGTGCCTGTGTTACTGCCAGCCCCTGTCCTGTGTGTCCCTGGCTCATAGGCACCATCTGCTTCCACCTCCCGTGGGGTGACAGCAGCTCTGCTGCCCCTCTGGTGTCCCTGGTGACACCCCCCAAGCCGGGGTCTGTGACAGGCTGGTGTATCAGCATGGCTCCTGCAGAAATCCAGCCAGCTGTGGCACCGGGGGATGTGCAGAGAGGGTGGCTTCCTTTCTTATTTTTTTTTGGAGCAGCTCATAATAATCCATGACAGCATTTCCTGTCCAGCCGATTCGGATGAGGAGGGGAGCATGACAGGACAGGAAATAGCATGTTGCCAAATTGCATTTGACTTCTTTCTAAGGCCATCATCACTGCTGCCTGGAAATCCTGCCTGAGGTGGTGCTACTGGCAGCAGCCCCAGGGAAGTTCATCTGCTGGGGGTGCTGGCTGGTGGCACTTTAGGGCTGTCACTGCATGTCCTGCTCTGTCCTCTCCCAGAGACACAACCTGTGCTTTCCTATATGCAGAGGTGCTGCCCTGTCTTGCAGGTGAACATCATCCCCATCATTGCCAAGGCTGACACCATCGCCAAGAACGAGTTGCACAAGTTCAAGAGCAAAATCATGAGCGAGCTGGTCAGCAACGGTGTCCAGATCTACCAGTTCCCAACCGATGAGGAGACGGTGGCCGAGATCAACGCCACCATGAGTGTATGTTATCTGGGGGGGTGGCTGCTCTTGCCTTGCCTGGGCCTGTCCTTGGTGGCCGTGCTGGGTCTTGCTTGGCCTTAAAACTGCAGTTTAAGCATGGACATCAGCCTGGCCAGAAGGCTTTTGGGGGCTGGCGATACCTGGTCTGATAGGTTTCCCTGTGTGACAAACGCTTCTCCCCCATCACAGTTCTCACATCCTTCCCCTGTTGCAGAATTCTCGTCAGGAAAGGAAAAGGATGGGAGGCCGGGCCCCAGCGTGGTCAGGGCAGGGAGCTGAGGTTTGGCTTTCCTGTCCCAAACGACCACTTGCTGCTTCGTGGGGGTGATTCATTTGCTGCTGCCTTTGTTTGGGTTTCCGCTGGGAGCGGGGCACCGGCACTGATGTTCCAGCGCTCCACTGCCCAGCAGTGGCTCTGGCTTTCACCTCCTCCCCTGCCTCTAGGGGAGGGAGTTGAGGCTAGACTGGACCTAACATTTTAGTGGGGGTTACCAAGGGAAGCAACTCTTTACCATGGGCCTGACTCGGGTGCAGAGGGAAGAATCTGAGCTCAGCGTTGCTGGCAGTGAGGTGTTGATTGGCCCCAAGAGGATGTGCCAGTCCTAAAGCAAGTGCAGTCAGATTAAGCTATTTCCTTGCTCCTTGAAGGCTGTTGTGAGTTCTGCTGCTCGAGGGCTTGTAGATGGGCAATCATCTCATCCAGCTGAATGTTAGACCCTCTGCAAAGCTCCCTATTGCCTCTCTTGCTGATTTGAGCAGGGAGAAGCTGGCTTAGGGAAGTCATGTGGCACTACCAGGGTGCTTTGTGTGCAGTGCTCTGCCTTCCTCAGGTGCAGCCTGGCTGCTGGGAAACCCGTTTGCCAGATAATTCCATGTCCTCTGCCCTGACATCGTCCCCTCCCACCCAGCCTGTGACCACAGCGTGGCTGACACAGCTCCCGCTCCCAGAGCTTGCACTCAGCCCCTTTGGATGCTGTCAAGGCAGGGAGAGTTCTGCTGGGCTGGGCTGGCAGCTGAGGCGAGCTCCCTCCTGGCAGCAGCCACACTTCTGGGAGTAGATCCCAGATTGTCGCCACCACACCCACGGAGAGACCTGGACGGAGCAGAGCTCCATGACTCAGACGTGTCAGCCCAGGGCTGGGTCAGCTCCGCTCTTCCTCTTGCTCACAGCTTTGCCCTGTGTAAGAGGAAGCATTAGCAGTTGTTTGTAACAGCAAAATCCCCCTGAATTTTGCCTTCCTTGAGAGGATGTAGTGTGTTTTCCTTTTTATTGTTTCACGGTTCTTTTTTCTTGGTGTTCAAATTCAGTTCCAGTTTGTAAGGCTTGGTCCGTGCTTAAGACAGTAGTGCATTGTAATGAAATGGAAAGTAATGTACATATCTTGTATTTTTAGGACTTCTGAATTCTGGGCTGTAAGTCTGATCAGGTTTCTCATCCAGATTGTCCTGTTGCTCTTCCTGAAACACCAGACGAATTGCAAAGGAGTTTAAACAACTTAAATTTAGCAGAGCTGCCCCAGTAAACAGCTTTCTTGAGGAACAATTTGTGGCAAGGCAGCAAAGGAAATCCCCAGCCTCATTGTCCCTTTCCTTTTGTAGGTCCACCTCCCTTTTGCCGTGGTTGGCAGCACTGAGGAAGTGAAGATTGGCAACAAGATGGCAAAAGCCAGGCAGTACCCCTGGGGTGTCGTGCAGGGTACGTTACCAAGGGCACAAGCCAGGCCTTCTCATCCTATCCCCTTCTGATCCAAGAATACCCAGTTCTGTTACTTCCATCTCTGGATGGCCCTTGCCAAAATCTGGCTTGAGAGAGCACAGCTTATGCCCGAACATGGGTATCTGGATGTGCGGCCAAAAGCTCCGTCCTGCAGGAGGGCAGAGTTTGGCCAGGGCACTGTTTGCAGCCCAGGCTTTACTGAAGCTGCCAAAAATCCAGAGCTGATCCTTGCTTTCCAGCCAGCACTGAGAAGTACAGGATTGAGATGTTGATGGTCTCCTTGTGGCTTCAGTTGTGTATCCCATTGGAGAAGGGCCCAGGAAGCTGCAGGGGAGCATTCACAGTGCAGTTCTGCATAACTCTCTGGTTTCTCTGTAATACCAGCTGACCCTGAAGCAGCTTCAGAGACTTCAGCTGTTCTCACCAGAGGATGGTACTGGGAAAAACAGTTAGGAAAGAAGTTCAAGTGTTTGGGAGGTCTTGGACTTAGACCTGTATCCTTCTGGGTTCTTGCTGTTCCCAGAAAACTAGGACCAGATAGTTGGAGATCCAGTTTAGGCTTTGCCTGTGCGAGCCCCTGTGAGTGCTAGGATTTTGAGTTGGTTTGGGTGGGAAGTGAAATCCTGTGAGCAAACGGATCATCACCTTGCTGGTGCAAAAATGGTTGGGGAGGTGGGAGCCCTGTGGCAGATGGGCATGGCACAGATTTTGCAAATCCAGTGCAAGCCTTGAACTCGGGCCTGTCTGGCGTGGGATGGCTTCAGCCCCAGTTCAGCAAGGTGTTTTGGTACAGGCTGGCGTGGAGCTGTGCCTGAGGAGCTCTGAGGTTTGCTACACTGGGGCCCCCGGGGTTTCACGTTCTCTCTGTGGACATGATCATTTTTGCAGTTGAAAATGAAAACCACTGCGACTTCGTGAAGCTGCGGGAGATGCTGATCCGAGTGAACATGGAGGACTTGCGGGAGCAGACGCACACCCGGCACTACGAGCTGTACAGGCGCTGCAAGCTGGAAGAGATGGGCTTCAAGGACACGGATCCGGACAGCAAACCTTTCAGGTAGGGATGTGCAACCCAGGTGCTGCTGTGCTCTGCAGCCTGCTTGCTCTGCTGCTGTACAGGGCTGCCTGAAATTCCAGGCAGGAGCAGTGCAGCCGTGTCTGTGTGACAGGAGGGTGGCCCATGCATTGGGGACATCCTGGGGTAAATGATCTTTTGACCCTCCTGGAGCTCTTCACAGCTGGTCCAAGGTGAGCTGTGAAGAGGGTGCCACGGTCTCATGCCTGAGGTTTGGCTGATTACTGAACACATAGTTCATTCTGTCAGACAGCTTTATTGGTCTGCAGCCCAAGCCATTAGCCAGGGACAGCAGCTGTGTGGGAATTTGGGAGGGGGTGTTTGTTTTCTCCCTTCATTTCCTGTTTCCCATTCCTCCCCAGCTTTTCCCTGGTAATTGCCCTCCCCTGCCTCACAGCGTCCCAGGTTCCTCTCTGCCTCCCGGGGAGGGCAGTCAGAATTCCAGTGCACCAGTGGGGGTTTGCCCCTGTAACGTGTGCGTCAGGGGCTGGCATTGGTTTGGGGTCTTGTTTCTGACTTGCTGAGTTGATGCAGCTGCGCTTCTTCTGCAGCAGAAACTCGGCTGGAATCAGTCAAGCCCAGTTCTGTTACTAAGCCCAAGTGTGAAGCTTTATTGGATTTCCTTTCTGGAGAGCAATGGCTTAAGATGGGCTCAGCCCTTCCTTTGGAGGAATCTGAGGAATTTCCATTGCTTCCTGTACACGAGGCCTCTTTTGACCAAGCTATAAGTAGAAAGGAAATGAAAATGTACAGAATTTCTCCATCTGGTACGTGCTAGTTCAGAGCAGTTCACTCTGGGTGCCTTTTCCCTCCAATAAACAAACAAAACCTATGATCCCAAGCTGTTTGGCCGAGGCTGATGAGTATCTGAAACGAGGGAGACATTCTCTCTGAGCTCAGGGATCAAAAGGGTGCTTTTCCCTGCATCTTGGCCCCAGGAGCCACAGGAACTGCTGCTCTTCAGGCAGCTTGCATCAGCCAGGAGCAGGGAGCCTTTGGCAAATCTCAGGGAGAGCAGGGCAGGAGGTCCCAGCAAGCCATTGGTGCTGTGTAGGGGCTTCTGTGAGGTGTGGGAAAGGGGCACTGGTGATGTCTCAGACCCCCACCTTGTTTGGCCAGCCTGCAGGAGGTTGGGAGGAAGCACCAAGATCCCAACATGCATCAGCTCCGTGAAGTGGGGTCTCTGTGCACAGAGACCCCTCTGCTGTCCTCTGTCTGTTGTGGGCTGGATTCTTTGCTGCTGTGGTTGAGCTTTTCAAAGCACTCCTTTTTCAAATAATGTTATTTGCCAGGGTGTGGGGGTGTGTTGGGAAAGCAAGTTACTCTCGTAGTTTAACTTCATATGGTTGTGTACTTAAAAGCCAATTCCCTTGTCATCTTTGCCTGTGAGAAGCTGCAGGGATCCCAGTTGGTTTGGACTGTTATTCCTTTGGGCTGTAATTGTTTTTTTCACATGCAGCCTGGGAGTTGCCAGGCCAGTTTCTCTGAGAACTTGGCTCCTCTGGAAGTCAGAATCACTGTGGCAGAGAATGAAGCTTTGAACTTGGGACAAGGAAATTTAACAGGAAGCCCCTGCCCCTCTCACTCCTGCCAGGGTTTTCCTGCGTGCCCATCACCTGGCATGGTGTGTTTGGAAGTGAGCTTTGGAAGAAGTGGTTTGCAGTCCAGGATCCTCAGAGCTTTGGCTCTGAGGCTCTGCTGCTCCCTAGGACAGCGTGGCACTAATGGCAGATTCAGTTTGTGCTCACTGAGCAGCAAAGGCTCACCTGCCCTCGGGCTTTGCCACATCCTTCACAAGGGCTTGGGAATTTAAGCTTCAGTGTCCACAGTCAGAGCATCAAATCCAACACTGTATTTTAGCGAGATGTTGTTTTGAGTCTCCTGAAGTCTGTATGCTGTGAGGGGTCTGGTTCTGCATGTAGCTAAAAATCCAAAGATAGCTCTTGCCCTGCTCTCCCACAAAAGGATTTTTGTTGTTTTTAGAATCAGTATTTTTGCTTCCATGTGTAGGAAGCTGGTGTGGTCATGTGGAATGGTGTGATTTCTCTGGGGCGGCCGGTGCTGTGCCAGAACAGCTCTGGGCATCCTGTCTGGTGGGTATTTTAGGAAGTAACTCAAGTGCCTATTAATTAGCAGAGTTAAACACAAGGCTTGGGATAATCTGACAAGTTGTGTTCCCCAGCTCAATATTTCATCCCCTAAAAAAACCCCCAACCAATAAAAAAGCCATCAAAGCCCCCAACACTGTGAGGAAAAGTAAAAGCTTGACTTTATTGGAATTAAAGTGTTCCACTGGCCCAACAGTTAATGTGTTCCTTAGGCACATGGATGCAACGTGTCTGTGGGACTCCAGTGGAGTTTTCATTTAAAAAATGCTTTTTCAGAAAAGCCTCTTGGGGGAAATAGTTATCATTCCCACACTATCATTATGGCTGGGCTATCCAAATCCATTTAAGGAATAAAACAAAAGAGGAATTTGGCGTCCAGAGTTCCTAAGAGGCTTTAAAAATCTCAGAGGTACACGGACAACGTGTTTTATGACCCAAATCTTCACTGTCTATCTGAGTGCTGGGGAAATGAAGGAATGCCAAGTAGAGGGGGAATGAAGCAATCCAGTGATGTGGTTATTTGGAGCAGGAAGGCTGCTGTTGTTTTGCAAAGGAGAAAGGGAGGTCTCCCAGGATGGCTTTATCTAAATCAAGCCCCTGATGTGACTGTTAGCAATGAGTAGTGAAAATGAGTTCTGCTCAGTGTCAGTGTCATGCCTAATGAGCTACACGGGGGCAGATTTCACCCGGGTCTGCTACACAACCCTTGCCTTTGCAACGCAGAGACTTGGCACCCACAGAGGGAGAAGGCAGGCACTGTGGCTCCGATGGATCACCAGCCCCGTGGGCATCGGGGATTGCTGCAGGCACTTATGTAGAGGCTGCTTCTCTTCCAGGACAGCCACCCTGCCTGCCGAGTGATGCTCGGGACGCTGAGCAGGGAGCTCGGCTCGTCCTTCCCATTCGCCTCCCGCTGCTGCCACCTAGCAAGCTGGGATGGCTTTCACGGAGGTGATGCTGCCTCTGCTGGAGCTCTGACCGTGTTTTGTGACAGGACAACCTCAGTGCTGCGGTCTCCAAAGGTTGGGAGCTCCTGGCTGTGCTTGAAACGCTGCTCTGACTGGGTTTTGTGTGCTTTTAACAGTCTCCAGGAGACGTACGAAGCAAAGAGGAATGAATTCCTGGGCGAGCTCCAGAAGAAGGAGGACGAAATGAGGCAGATGTTTGTCATGCGAGTGAAGGAGAAGGAAGCAGAGTTGAAGGAAGCAGAGAAGGATGTGAGTATATTGTGATGGTGAGGGCTTGGGGCAGGGCTGGTACAGGAAATGTCCTGCTGGGGCAGGGAGCTGCTCTTCTCTTGGAGCATGTGCTGCTGCAGGGGTGCAAACAAGAGTGCAGCCCTCAGTGCCCATGTTCCCTTGCTCTGCATGAGCCTCATAGAGTCCACTAAGCACTGAGGGATGGAATATGGGAGGTGTGGAAGTGTCCAGAGGCCTGCTGAGTTCCTACAGCAATGGGAATTCCAGCTCTGTGTGCCAGTGAGTGTTACCTGCAGGGCTTTTCTCACGAGTCAGGCAGGCTGGGGACAGGCTGATGGCATGCAGGGAGGCCTCAGTGCCAGCAGGAACACCTGGGGCATCAGTAAATTGCCAGGAAATCAGGGTGGAACATTCCTTCCTCTTTTCCCAGCCAATTCTCACTGTCTCTGTCCCGGCAGCTTCACGAAAAGTTCGACCATCTAAAGAGGACTCACCAAGAAGAGAAGAAAAAGGTGGAAGACAAAAAGAAGGAACTTGAGGAAGAGCTGAACAACTTTCAAAAGAAGAAGGCAGCAGCACAGCTATTACAGTCACAGGCTCAGCAGGCAGGTTCTCAACAAACCAAGAAAGACAAGGACAAGAAAAAGTAAGCGGATGTCACCCACACCCTTTGTAGGGTTTGTTGCAAGTTTGGGAGGTTGTTTTTTTCTTTCTTGCTGCATGTCTGTATTTGCTTTTCCCCATTACCAGACTGGAAACAGGCCTTTTCTCAGCCTGATCAAATAAAATATTTTTTTTTTTTCTAAAGGGTGGGCCAGGGACATGATATTAATTTTTCTCTAGAAGAGTACCTTCAAATTTTATCTTCAAGTCTGACTGGTGTGGGAGAGCAATTGGATGGTGGAGTTTTGATTTGTGATCTGTTCAGCATCTTCTGGAACTATGCGATGTTCTGGACTCAGATTTATCTGCCTGAGCCAGAAGTATTAAGGGAGTTGCTGCCCATCCTTTCTTTCACCGGTAGGCTCCAGTTCCCATTCCTTAAGGTTATAGCTGTAAGTAGAAGTAAATTAGAAACCAAAACCACCATGTTATTTTTACATGGGGAATGCTAGTGCCAAAAGTGATGACTTGGAAGCTTGCTTTAAAGACAAGAAGCTTGGGTTTTGTATTTTTTTAGAAAAACAAACTACTACGGTACCATAATTGCAGTTAAATGGCGTTTGTGGTTGTATCAAGTTGACATAATAAGCTAAGAAACCCTTACCTTTTAGTCCAGATCATGGCACTGTTTTTTACTATTTTGTATTCGTGTCCTAGGAGCGTGATCCTTTGCCCTCCCCTGGCTTTTTCCATTCCTAGTGAGACGGTGCTCATGCAAGTCCTTAGTGAGTCACCTGTGCTAAGGGTGCTTAGTCGGTACCTGCCTTTGGGAAAGCTGGGGATGCAGCAAATATCTCTGGAAAACACTTGGTTAACCCACACACAAAAATGACAGTTCCACGCTGCTTTCGCTGCCCGCGAGAGAAGGGAGCGTTCCTTAGAGTAACACGGGTGGTGTCACCCCTGGAAAAGCAGGGCTGTGCCTCACACCCTTGTGTCTCCCATGCCAGGGGAGCTGCAGCCTGGCCCAGCTGTGTGGCAGCAGTTGTGCAGCAGATGCACCGGGGTTTTACAGCTGTCACCCTCGCTGCACGGCCCCTGCCGCTGGTTCCGTGCCCGGCGTCGGTCGCTGCTGCCCGGGGCAGGTGGGGAGGGCCTGGGGCTGGTTCCTCAGCTGCTGTAAATTGATGTAGCTCCTATGGAGCCCTGCTGCTCGGTGCTGGCTGAGGACGTGGCCCTGGGCCCTGCCGGGATGCATGGAGCACTGCACACTCTGCTCGGGGAGAAATCCTTACGGACCAGACCCAGGGCTGTCGGGCTGAGCACTGGAACCAGCCAGTGTTGGCAGCTAAGGCCCAGGCATGCTGAAACCCCCTTCTGCAGATAGCTGGGACACTCATCTTCTCTCACCTGAGAGCTCAGAGATGGTGATGCATTCCCTAAAAAGAATAGGAAGCTTTGAAGAGCCTTTTCCTTATCTCTCAGAGCTGGTAGCAGTCAGATTTTTTTCATCTCCTAGCTGTAGGAGCAGTGCAGTACAGAACGGTCTGGGGAGTTCTGTCCCTCTGGGTGGTCAGTGTGAGCTCCTGTTTGGTTCCAGCCTCGTGAGTGGGACAGGGCTGTTCCCAGCGACCGTGACAAACACAGGTTCTGCTTTGCTGCTGCATTCACAGAAATCCAGCCTGGAGGAACATGCCCGTGTTTTAGTGTGTCCTTTGTGTCGCTCCACGCCAGGTGCTGTACCTGCTGCAGGTGTTCTCTAGTGTCAGAGTTACTAACAGAGGCTTTCAAGGGAAATGCTGATGCTCCTGCCTTGTAGCTCACCTTGGTTTTCTAAAGGCTTTCAGTTTCTCCTTGCACTCTAATGTGGAGCTGCAGTTTGTGTAGTTAAGGCTTCCAACCTCTCTCTCTGCTGCCATGGCCCGTGGTGCTTCCTGTGCAGTTGCCAGAGGAAAGCCTTGCCATGCCCGACCCTTACGGCCTCCCCACAAAGTAATTCATGGAAATGCTTCATTTTCTCAAGGTGGGATCAGATTTCTCCAGTTTGGACAACACTTTCCACTGTGCTGTGCATGCCAGAGGGAAGGCTCAGGGTGGAATCTGCTGCTCACCTGACTCCATGAGGGAGAGCTTGGCCTTCCTGATTTCCACACTATTCCTCCAGAAATTCTCAAGCTTGTACTCTTTATCTAAAAAGTTTGGGGCTTTGGGAACAGCACACCCGTGTCCCTCAGGTACTGAAGGGGTGGCTGCAGAGCAGACTGTGCCACTTGCCTGGACGTGGGGCTGAGCCCCTGCTGTAGGGGACTGTGCTTCCAGCCTGCCCAGTGTGGAGAGAGCTCCTGGCAGCAGAGCCAGTGGGAGAGGCAAGCAGCCTTCTGGTGCTCGCCTGCTGCTGGCTCGATGGCCACATGCCTCAACATGTGCCGTTGTGTTGCTGCTCATCCGCAGCCCCCCCAGGAGCCAGGACCATCTGTTTGGCTTCTGTCTCCATTTATTAAAAGCTGCTTCTGAAAGCCAAGTGTAAAACTTTTTTTTTTCCAGTTTCCTTTCCACTTAAGTTTCCGGACCAACGTGCCTGGTCTGGCCATCAGGGGCCGTGCTGCTCCCAAAGCAGTCCCTGAGCTGCAGCACCCATGTCAGGGTCTGGCCCAACACCCTGTAAAAAGAGGGGTTTGGTGGTGCCTGAAGGATCTGAGCTGGCTGTGAAAGGCATGCTTGGAGACATCCTGGTGTCCAGGTGTGAGGTACCTGAGCTGCCTCCTGCAAGGATGCCCGTGGGAAGTACCCCAAGCTGGGAACAAATGAGCCCCAAAGCCACCGAGCTCTGTGGTGACAGGCTGTAACCTGGGCCAGCTGACAGGGTTGGTTGGTCAGTAGTTCTGTCCTCACAGTTTTTCTTTTTACTTTTGCTTGTCATAGGCCGGAGTAGAGCCCAGCCTTGAGGTTGAATTTCTTTGTAATTCCATGATCCATCTGCATGCCCACCCACCGGAGCGGGTTGCTGGTGTCGGCTCTCCTGGCTTTCTTTATTTTTTTTTTTTTTGCATTTTGAGTTCTGTTAGTGCTAACTTTTTTGTTTTTTGTTCTGTTTTTTTAACTTGCAGTGCAAGCTTCACATAAAGCCTGTCGAGCCAAGGATGTTCCTGCATTCACCTGCTTTTGCAGTAATGTGTCTCTGCCATCTGTTTTCTTTTTATATATTTTTTTCCATTTTTTTTAACATGAATAACTATTAACTCATCTAATAACATAGTGGGAACAAGAAGGAAGAGGGATTGGGTGCAGGACTGTGTGTGAGTGGAAGTTCAGGGCTGGGTGGAGGGACGAGTAATCATGATGACACCATGCATTTTTCTCACCAAAACCATCAGCAGTCAATTCTTTTTGGCCCCTAGTCTGAACCAAGAGTCAGCAGCTCAGGTTTTGGCTGGCTCAGGTGTCCTCAGTGCTGCTGGCTGTGCAGTGGGAACCCCAGGAATGATGAGTGTTGTAGGAATGTCCCAGCCAGCCCAGGCCATGGCTGGGGCTGGAGTTCAGCCTGAGCCACGTTCCTGCAGGAGCTGATGCCTTCAGCAGCCCCAGTCCCTGCCGGGGAGAGGGAGGGGGGTGTGTGTAGATAACCAAGTGTAACTGACCTTGCATGCCGTGACATTTGCATGATAATTTGTGTTAGATCCTGTTCTGTGCTGGCCTGGTTTTCCAGCCTCCCTTCCAGCTCAGCAGAGCAGCTCAGTGGCTGCCTCGGGGAAGGACCATTCCCAGCACTGCTCTCCCTGCACTGCTTGCCTCAAACCTTTGGAGCCTCCCTTAAAATCCTGCCTGGTTTCCAATGGGCAGGGTCTTAACGAGGCTTAAGCAGCCCTCATGGAATCAACTGCCTGGGCAGGGGGAAGATAGAACCTTCAGCATCCTCTTGGAGCTGCCAGGAGCATGTGGGATCCAGAATTCCAGGTGGAGGGGAGAGAAGGTGCCTGGACACAGTCTCTGCACTGCCCCCAAGCCCTCCTGCAGCAGGAATCATGTCCCATTCAGGTATCCCTAGGACATGGCAAGGAGGTGCAGGATAAGCCAGGCCCTGCTCTCTGGCCACACACTGTGGAAGTGGGGGCTGTTTAAAGTGTTTTTTCCATGCCATTGCTTTCAGACACAGTCATTCCCTTCCTTCCCAAGGAGTGGTGAGCTGTGCTTACCCCGTGACTCCTGGATTTCTTCCTCTGCCAGTGCACAGCCAGCACTTGCTCTGCTCCCAGCTAGGCAGTCTCTTTAAAACCTTCTTACACAAAACTCTTCCTACCTGAGTCTCCTTCCGCAGCTCTTGGCCTGCTTCTGGATGGAATTTCTCTGGGGGAAAAAGAAAAGGCAGAATTCCCACTTCTTTTAAATTCCCACTTCTTTTAATCACTTTTTCCTCAGGTGTTGGATTGGGAAGTGCTTGGAGGTTAGCTTATGGGTTGTCTTGCTTTTTTACCCTCACCGGTTAAACATGGCCTTGGGAAAAGGATATCTATGAACCATGTCTTGGACAGAGAGCAGAAATGGATAAATAGCTGGAAATAAAGCAGTTGCCCTTTTTATTCTTTTTTACACATTTAAAAAATTTTTTTTAGATTTTTGAAGTTGTTTTTAAAGTTGTTTTTTTTTTGTGGTTGTTGTTTGGGTTTGGTTTTTTTTTTTCCCCTCCTGGAGTTGCCAACTATGCACTTTTCATCAGGTTAAATGGGTTTGCTGCAGGGTTAGTTGGAAAAACGAAATTCTGGTTCTTGTGGCTTCTGGCAAACCCAGCTTTGAAATCTGGAGTTCTGAAGGAAGAAGTTTGAGTTGTTTGCATGAGTTTTTTACAGTCACATCACATGCCCATCACCGAGTGCTCGTGGCAATATGCTTTGCTTCAGCTGCCTCTGTGCATGTCATCTTTTTAATTACCAGTGTTTTGTGCCAAGTAGAAAACTTAATTTTAACATTTATTTCTCCTGCTTCGTTTAACAGCCCTTGAAGGGATGTTTAGCAGGGGAAATCAGCTGAGTTGAGCTTTTCCTTTTTGACAGAAAGCTGTGGTCAAGTGCATTAGTGTATTTTTGGTTGAGCTTTTCTCCAGCAGAAAACCAGCTGTGTTGGAGAAACTGGGAATAAACCACAAACTTGAAGATGTCAAAGGTATTGTTTTGGTTTTTTGCTGAAGGAGATGGAAATTACTTTACTTTTTTCCCTATCTTGACCCCCTGGGCCATGTTTAGCTTGTTCCTGCTGCTCTTGTTGCTTTTCCTTTCCCCGTGCCTTTTTTCCCAGTAGCCCCTGATGTGCATGGAGTGAATGATACACTCAGGTGTGGCTGGATGTGCTTTCACCTCTGCATGTAAGTACAGCAGGAAGAGGCTGACCCTTCCTGCCTCTCTCCTGACAGGAGAGCAGCTGTGCTTTTCTGGGAGATGCTCCAAGCCCGCTTACTTGCAAGTGGGGCGGTTAAAACTCCTCTAAAAAACTGCATGTTCCTCACAAGGTGGATTTCAGTCCTGAGGCTAATACAGGGGAGCAGGGAAGCACGCTGCAATGTGCTTTTTCTGGGATATGGTGGTGTTCCCAGGGCATGAAGCAAACCCCCAGAATGGATAAGCAGAAACAATGCTGTGGCTGCTCTGTGGAGAGGGGGTCTGTAGGCAGTGGGAGAGGAGGAGATGGATAAAGGGCTTGTTCCCCCAGAACCTTCTGGGCATCACACAGCTCATTCCAGAGAGGGCAGTGAGTAGGAAGGTGCCCTTGGAGCTCGTGGTTGTGAAATGCATCATCTTGAGTTGCACCTCCTGTGGCACTCCAGGAGCCACAGGGGAAAGCAGGCACTGGCACCACCCCGGGCTCCTCTCCAGCTGGAGAGCTGCCACTGCTGTCACCCCCCTGCGTGCTCCTGACAGCTTGGAATCCCAGCAGGGAGCTGCATGTCTCCCTGGAAGGACATCCCTGTTAAACAGGACCCATGGTTCTGCAGGCAGCTTCTCCCAAGCCGTCCGAGTGCAGATGGAAATGTCTTTTTGTGTGTGACCACATCAGATGTGTCCGTGTGACTCCAGTCCCCTTCCGTGTCCCTTCTCCCAGGGCTCGGGCTGCATGTGCAGGGTGTGATACCTGTGGTGCTCTTGCCAGCGTGTGCCAGCGCAGAGCTCTGAAAATATGAAGGGTTTTTTTTTCATTCACGGGAAACAAAGCTGTGAACAGCGGTAGAAATCTTGTACTTTTAATATCCTGATTGCCTTAAACCATAGATGTAGGACTTTATTACCTTGCTATTGGAAAATAACCCATGTTTGTAACTAAACGATTGTGTAACCTACATACAGTGTTAATGCAAATGATATGTATGCATCTGTTAGATATTGTCACTTTATTTGATGTGAAAATATTTCAGTTTTTGAATTACAGATGGAATAATAACCACCTAGCATAAACTCAGTTATTTCTTGTATATGCTTCAGGCTGCAGATCCACATAGTGCCAACACTTGAAGTGGGGAGAGGAAATATATTTTTACCCCAAGCTTTGGTCTTTGCGTGGCCTCTGTGATGTTTGCTGTTGCCTTTCTGTGGCAGGGTGACAGGAGGGTCACCTGTCAACCTCTGCCTCCCCGGCAGGTTGTTCTGTGCCTCTGTAGGCTCGTGCTGGTGTTTGTCAGTCGCTTTTTGTGGTGGTCCTGAGCTTGTTCCCCACCCTAGCTGGTGTCCCGGGGAGCTCAGGCCAGATTTGATGTGTGTGACACCTGCCCAGTACATTCCCTCCCCCGTGACATATTAAAATGTTGTTCCTCTTTTGTTCCCCCCCCCACCATCCTCACTTTTTCATTTCAATTCTGAACCTCTGTTTCTTTTCTCTTCTGTTTTTCTCTTTTTCTGTAGCTTCTTCTTTATGTAAGCGTCACCTTGCCAAAGCCCCCGCACCCTCTCTCCCAGTGGACCGTAGGGCACTGGAAGAGCTGCGGATCCGGGGCAGCCGTGCCAGGAGAAGAACCATCTCATTCCTCCATCACGTCTGCCCTCCTCTCCTCCCCCCTTTGTTCCCACCCGTGCGTCTGAGGGTGTGCTGTGCTGTGTGTCTGTGCGGGACCTGCCCGCCGCGACAGCGTCCCGGCTTCCAGGGAACGGCCGCCGGAGGGAGCTCGGCCGCGCTGGGACTCCTTGCTCTGGGTTAGTTGGATTTTTTTGCCTCCCTCCCCGATTTCTTTTGCCGTAACACGCACACGCTGCTGGCGACACACGGAATGACAGACTTGGGGGCGAGTGTGCAAAGCTGGAGGATTTAATTTCTGCCTCGAGCCTGGCTGCTTTGGACACCACAACTTCATCTCGAGGGCGTCCCGTGCTCCTCTGGCGTGGCTGGAAATCTCTCCATAGACCTGGTGGTGTTCTCAGTGTGTCAGTGTGTGACGGTGGATGTCCCATCCTGTGGCACTGATGGAGCCTGTGCTGGACTGTCAAGGCTTTATTTTCTGTGCCTTGCTATGGGCAGAGCAAGGTTCTGGTTTTGTACAGCTGGCTTGCACCTAGATGCAGGGCTTCATTTTGTTTTCATGAAGCCTAACTAGTGATTATTTTTTAACAGTCCTCAGTGTGGGCAAGTTGTTAAAATTTCTACCTTGTTTACTTTGGAAGTGAACTCAGTTGAGAAGTTTGGGAAGTGCCAAAGGATTGCTTGAAGGTAAAAACACAACCTGTAGATGTGTGTGGTGACCTCCAGCTGCTTTGGGATGGAGGGAAGGAGGCAGCCCGAGCCTCTTGGGATGTTGTTTTGTGTAGAGTGCTGCACTTGGATTTTGAACCGAATACTAGTGATTTATTCTTTGCATCTGTGAACATTAATCAAGGCCTTCCCTTCCTTTAACCTGCTGAGGTAAAGCTACCCTGAGCTGATCTAGGTTTGGCCTCTGGCACTCGGTGTGTGACATGCCAGCTGCTGAGGGGCTCTGCTGAAATCTGCTGGGGTTTTTTTTTTCACACATACAGTGTTTTGTAGCATCTTCAGTGACAAGGGTCAGCTCCCTCCAGCCAGGTGAAAGAAAAACTGCATATCCTGGAAGCCTTTGCAACCAAAGAAGTGACTTTATAAATACACTCAGGAAGGTTATTGAGCGTTGGCCTCACGTGTGCTGTGCCCTGGTATGTAGCTGGACTTGCTGGCTGTTGCCCAGCCTGAAGGGCTGTGAATATTTGCACAAGTGTAGCTTGGGACAGGACTTGCAGTGATACCAAAACCAGAGTCTGCCCCACTCTTGAAGCTGCAGGGGCCTCAGGTGGTACCCAGTGCCTCCCACCACACAGCCAGGTCAGAAACATGTTCAGTTCAGCCTTGTGAGCACAAAGCAGGGTCGAGGCCATTGCTGGATGAAACCTTGGCTGTGTCTGTCCCTGTCTTGCTCTGCAGAACTCTGTGGGTGTTTGTCTTACCTGGGAACCACAACTTGCAGGATGGGATCCCTGCGTGCCCTGGGCCACCATCCCTACCAAAAAGCCATGGCTTGAGCTGCACATATTCATAAAAAAAATAGTGAGTTACCTTGGAGCCTGAAATAGGGGTTCACCGTGCAGCCAAGGGCTGCTGGGGCTCAGAGCATGCTGGTGCTCGGGCCCCTCCTGTGCCTCATGCAGGCAGTGTCCCCCTGGCCCAGGGTGCTCTGCACACCAAGCTGGTCACTGTTGACTGAGAACACGCCTTGCCCTTGCAATGCCCAGTTTAGGCTGTCTTTTCTTCCAGTGGTGGCAGCTGTGCCAGTGGCTGCTGCTGGGGGCCCAAGGGCCTTGGCTGTGGGCTCCTCAGCTGCTGGATGGCTCCTGCAGCCTTCTGTGAGACCCTCTGCCAGGGAGGGAATCCTCTCCTTATGTTCCCCTCTGTCCTCACACCTTTTTGTTGTTGCTTCTAAGCTCCAAATGGAATTATTTTAAAAGCCTAATATAAAGAGAAGCAGAGGGGCACAACCCCAATGCTGACACTCACACAGACTGCCTTTGTTTTGCAGCCCTGTAGAGTTTTGCTGCGCTGGTGCCTTGAGTCCTGCTTGCAGCTCTGGAGCTCGTGTCTGCGGGAGGACATAGCGGAGTTAGAGAAGGGCACTAATGGGAATTGGGATGGAGCAGCGGCGTGCCAGGTGAGGCGGCTCCTTTGGAGGGGAAAGGCAGAGGTGAGGGAGGCAGAGAGCAGGAGCTGGCAGCACATGACCTCTAGAGGTCCCCTGCAGCCCAAATTTATTTGTGACTGTTCGAAAGCTCAATCGATGGGGGTGTGCACCGAGCTGTCGTTCACCAAATCCTCACAACTGGACTTAGCTCGAAGGGAATGGGCTCAAAACATGGAGAAGCTTTCATACAGAGCAGGTACTAAACTTCTGGGGTTGTTGACACTGGTTGTTGATAGGGACGCTGTCAGCAGAAGGTTTTGGGGTTGGTTTGGGGTTTTTTAAGGGTAACTTCAGGGAGAACAGGTCCATAAGGTAAAGAGACTCTGTTGGTGGTGGATGCAGGGCAGAGGGAAGGGAGCAGAAGGCACGGGCGGTGTCTGGTAATCGGGGACATTATCTGTCACCAAGTGTCCCCAGCAGAGCTGGGAAAGCCACTTCATCCACTCCCAGCTGAAAAGTTGTGCTTTGGGGTTAACCCTTGTGTGGCTGCTGCAGGGGATCCATGCTCTGGTGTCTGGAGGGCAAATCCTTCAGGGGTTCAGGGAAGCTGGGGGGAGCAGCACAGCGTGTGAGGTTGGGCTGGGATTGCAGCTAAAGGCTTGGGGACAAGCAGCAGTGCTCCTCCAAAATGTGGCTGCTGTGCCTGGAGAGCTGCCTGGGCTTGGGGCACTGAGCAAATGCTTGGGTTTGGGAATGCAGTGGTTTTCTCCCAGTGCTCCTGTGGGAGATGTTGGGCTCCTGGCCTGCACTGCTGTGGGCCCCTCTGGAGCTGTTGGCATCTTGGGCTGGTCCATGACGTGAAGCACTGGGGTGCTGTGAGGTCTGTGGGAAGGTCACATGAATGTGAGGAGTCAAGGGCATCAGGGAGTGTTTTCCTGTGGGAAACAAGGAGCCCTGGCAGTGCTCCAGTCCGGCCCTGTGCTCCAGCAGTGGGAGCAGCATAGGAGCCAGCCTGCTGCTGAAGGTGATGGGGGCTGTGCAGGCTGGGGCTGGAGGGGGCAGCTCCAGGGAAGAGCAAAAACAATGGGATGCTGTTGGGTGCCACAGCCAGAGAGGTGCCAAGCATGCAGGGCCTTGCCAGGACAGCAGGACACTGCAGAGGTGGCTCACACGGAGCAGGGACAGGGTTTGTGCACGGCACCAAGGAAATAAAACGTGTCTGTCTCTCTCTGCAGCCAGGGACACCGAGTCCTGCCCCTGCAGGTGTTTGCTTCCCTGGGCTCGCCAGGTCAGTGCTGTGGCTTGGCCGGCTCCAGGCAGCACAAGGAGGCCAGGAAGGGTTCAGGGCAGTTTTGGGAGAGCCACAGTGATGCTGTTAATTGGGTGTGGTTTGGAAGGCAGAGCTCTCCCCTCGCGGCTGGTACAAGCCAGGGCAGTGTGGGGCAGTGCACGACCCGCTGCTGTCCTGTGAGTTTGCAGAGCGGGTGACAGTGACAAGGACACAGTTACCTTCCCAGAGTGATACACAGCCACGGCTGCAGCACACCTGGTCAGCAAACTGCCCCAGAGGCACCCAAATATCTCCTGAGGCCCAGCTCCCCTCCTTGCTGTTCCAGCCAGGCTCCCTGCTCCCAATCTCGTGCCAACTCCTCTCCATGTGTGCATCTGAATGCCTGTGTTCTGGTGCTGAGAGTGGGGAATGCAGGAATATGCCCTTAAACCTGGGGTGGGGAAGGGAAAAGCTAATGTAATTGAACTGGGAAAGATGTGTAACTTGCCATGGGCTGGAAGCAGGGAGCCCCAGAACTGGGGATGTCCTGCAGTGACAGGGTGCTTTGCTTGGTGGTGTGCTTGTGATACCCTGAGCCTGCTCAGCAGCCTGGCTTTGGAAAACTGAGCTGTGGGATGAGAAGGTCAGGGACTGAAAATACTGTAAGGACGGCAGGAAGGGCTGGAAGGGAAGGAAGACACACACCCTGCTGAGAAATGTGGGCTTGAGGAGTATTTTTTGAGCCGTGGCAGGAAGAAGCCAGAACCCAAGAGAAGGCTGTCAGGGTGCACTGCTGCAGTAAGATGGCACCTTGGAAGGCAGGGAGCAGGAGGGGCTCCAGGACAGGGGACATGGAGCAGTGTTCCTGCCAGGCACTTAGCCTGGAGAGAGGAGCACCAGAACCAGGCCCAAAGCTGGAAGTGCTGGAGAGGCAGTGAGTTCATGCTGGGTGACTCCCCTGGCTGCCCAGCACCTCTCATGTCACCTTTCCAGGGGTCTGGCAGCTGCCAAGTAAAGCCAAGCCAGGTCTTGGGAGAGGCTGCCCAGCACCTCTCATGTCACCTTTCCAGGGGTCTGGCACAGAGCAGCTCCCTGGCAGCTGCCGGGTAAAGCCGAGCCAGGTCTTGGGAGGAAAGCACAACACCAGACTGGGCATCCAGGACAACTTTCTTTATTGCTACCAGAAGGCTTTCATCAGTACAATGGCTCTGGATACAATACCTTCCTCAGGGCTGTGGAGAGAGCTTACAGTCGGGACAGGGTGTTCTGAGAACAGGGTGTCACACGGAGGAGACGCGATCAAGGTCAGACTCTTGGTTAGAAGTTACATGAACACAAAACTCGAGGGTCGGGGTGTTTTGTTTTGGTTCTGTGCCTGATGATGACACGTGTTCCGAACCTCAGGTGTCCGCAGCTGCCCCAGCACCTCACCCAGCAGTGCTGGGAAACGTGCAGGGAGAACCGGGCTCTGCACAATTCAAGGGTTACATCTGATGGAGAGAACCGAGCCTTGGTGAGAATCCACACTGAGTGCTGCACAGCAAGAAAAAAATGGTTTCAGTTCTAGTGATGCAAAACCCAGTAACTGCTTTCTGTGTTGGGACAGGCAAACTGGTCTAACTGGGAGAAGTCTCTGTGCCAGGCACAGAGCACCTTCACACTCCTGTGGCAATTACTGAAGTGTGGAGCAGCTTGCAAGCATTGGTTTAGGTTTTTTTCCTGCCTAATGTTTTGTTTAAATCCAGTTTTTCAATATTATCACATTTAAACACCCAACTATTAACAAAAGAGGTTTTCTGTCTAGAAGGGCAAAAGAAAGCTGTGGTGGAGGTGGGGCAGGACAGAATGTCATGCACGAGACTGGCCGAGAACTAAAAGAGGAGCAGGCAGAAAGGGAGCAAGGAGCAGGTGGGAATGGGATCAGAGAGGCATTAGTTGGCTGGCAAACCTGGAAACAGCTCCGCAGGGCTGGTGTGTGAGCTCTCGGATGTGGAGAATGGGTTACAACACACAGGAGCAGAAAAACAGTGGAACCGACAACACTAGAAAGGAACAGGTTTTTGCTACTTTTTTTGTTTGGTTTTTGGGTCTTTTTTTAGATTTTTATACTTTTTTGTGTTTTTAAGTGCTTAAATAGTGGAACTATAATTAGCCGCACAAGAAATAAAATTCAAAAAAGGGTCGGGATTTTTTTTTTTTTCCTGGTTTTCTTTTGGCTCCCTTCAGTTCAGCCTGACAAGGTACGGCCCCTTCTCGCCCCGCTGAGGCCACGGGCTGCCAGGTCCCGCGGTGGCACTGGCAGCTACATGACAGACACCGGCTGCAGAGGCGGGCAGGGGGACACGCTGCCCTCCTGCCGCGAGACGTCGGCGCCGCAAACGGAGCCCACGTTCTCCAGGGCCACTGCCTCCGGGGCCAGGTCTTCGTTGTAGAGGCGCTTGATGCCGTCGTAGAAGTCGTCCACTTCCATCTCTTCCACCTTGCGCTTGGCGGAGCCTGGCTTGCAGCCGCCGGCGGGGGCGGGCAGGCGCGGGCAGAGCGCGGCTGTAGCTGTGACGGGCGCTTCTGGCCGGCCGTTGTCCTGGGAGAAACCTGGCCCTGGGACAGAGGAGGGCTGGCGGTGGAACGCTCCTCTGTTACAGGTCACCAGGGTCTGCTGGAGGGGACTGTAGACATATACAGAGTTGGGCAGCAGAGAAGGCTGCAGAGTGGAAAGGTGATGTGCCACCAGCTCCCGGCAGTGGATCAGCTGCGAGCTGTCCATCTGGAGTGGGAAGACAAGCAGAGGTACGGCTGCTGTGGGATCACTGGCAGGGTGAGGAGAGGGCACGGGCTCCCAAAGCCTCGGCCACCTCTGAGCCTCAAGATGACGTCCCAAGATACACCCCCTGCCAACTACCACGGTGACGTCCCAAGATACACCTCCTGCTCCTTCCTGCACCTTGTGGGACTCGGGGGAAGCAGGCACAACTGGGACATATTACAGGATTTCACTGCCTGTTTTTAGCAGCTGGAGCGTGCTGCCAGAGTACCTGCAAGGTTTCCTGTATGCTGTCAATGAATGGAAGAACCACTAACAAGTGGAGTTTCTCCCTGGTGCAGCAAGGGCCTGTGTAGATCAGGGCACACAGCTCCTCCCGCTGTCACGCAGTGGTCAGGACTGAGACCTGGCAGCACTGTCCCTACAGCTGTCCCTCCAGGCTGAGGCCCAGCCATCCCCACACGAATGGAACAACAGGCAGCAAGGAACCACAAAGCCCCAGCTGCCCCGGAGCCCCAAGCAGGATGTGGCCCTGGTCCCTTCCCGCTCCTCACCTGTGCCTTCTGGAGCAGCTCGATGATGAGAGCCAGCCAGTCGGGGAGCAGCTTCTCCAGCTCCAGGCTGACGATGGCCAGCGCCAGCATGGAGCCCTTGAACTGCAGCAGCTGGAAGCAGGCCATGCAGTGCAGCAGCTGCTTGGTCAGCGCCGCCACGTGCTGCGAGGGGCTCGGCGTGGGCAGCAGGGCCAGGAGCTGCGGCCTGCTGGACACCGCCACGGCGTGGAACTGCGGGACACAAGCACAGGGGACAGCTGGCAGCGCCGGCCAGGCCATGGCACACCTGGGGAACAGTCTGTGCAC